CCTTCCACACCCGACTTGCCTGGATCAGCATCACCACCCTGGTGGCGAGACCCTCCGGCTTCACGCCCTCTGATACGGCCGTCTCCCTAGCGCGTGAATCAAACCTGCTTGCAATCTACTGCGACACCGCTACTCTCGCTCCTGCACACCAAATTTCCCATGGGCGAGCATCCAAATTGAGGGCGCACCGCCACAGTGCTAAGCAGCCACAGCGGTAAGCAGCACCAGCCATGCCTCTGCAGACCCTGACAAAATGCACATATGCGCTACAATGGGTAATAGCAGATGACGACGCTGCTGCTGCTACTGCTGCTGATTGTGGTTGGGATGATGGCAATGCTCGTCGGCATATGGTGATAGAGACATGGCTTGCGCTTGTTTTTTTTCTTTGCCATGTGTGTGTGTGCCCCCCCTCCTGCATCCGGGACGCACCTCCCGCAGCCGGGGGGACGCACCTCCCCAAATGCGCACTTGCATTCTACCCCACATGACCACAACACCACAAAAAAAATATTGGACACACAAACACTAGCCCGCCGCCTTCTCCACCATGCTATCATCACATCCATCCCTCATCTCCGTCATCTTCACCAGCCTCGCAATCGCCCAGTTTTGCACACAACTCAGCCACAGTCCCTCTCAACAAATTGCCCTGTAGCACATCTCAGGCGTGCCGTGCCGTGCCACTCCTCTTCCCGCATCTGCTATACTCGTGCCCGTCACATTTACTCCGCCCCGCGGCTGGCTGCCCAGATCAGAGTTCGCATCAAAGACGGACGCTCGTTTTTTTCTTCTTCCCAAAACCATGTAGACCATGGTCCCAAGGCCGCTCGCCTACAATATCCATACGGTTGGGCATCACCAACCCTCGTCGACGTCAGGAAAACGGGCCATTTTGGCGGATGAACCACTACTACCGCTGCAAGGTGCTAGTTTCAGCCTTTTGACACAAGGGAAAAAAACGCACTTGCATCACTAACAATGCACTATCTTCCTGACCTTCGGGAATGGTGTTCGCAGCGCGGCAGACGGTAAATGCACCCCATTCAGCATCTCAACCCGCATCCACACGGCAAAGACTAGTGAGTAGTGTAGTCGCTCAAGGTGTGCTCAATCGCCCACATACCGCAATGCGCACATGTCGCTACCCAACCATTGCTTGGGCGCGCGCCCCAGTCCAGCCCATTCTGCCGTCAGATGGAGGTATACCCAGCATTCCCGTTCTCTTCCGTCCTCGTCTCGCCTTTTCCAACTCGTAAGCAAGTCAGCTTCCCGACCAGATATGGGCCCAACCGCCAGTGACATTAACCCACGACCTGAGGCAGGAGCAACAAGCTTTGCAGCAGGGGGCACCATTGTAGCTGAAATGTTTTACTTGATTGAGGGATTGGTCCTTGTTTGCCCAAAGTCGGCGTCGCAACCTGTATTTCCACACTCTTGGTGTGCGTACTAATCGGTACGACTACACTAGCATGCTTCCCAAACAGCCACCTTCACAGTCGTCCGAGACATGGTTGCCTCGCGGACCTTCCTCGGCTCAACAAGCCGCGTCTAAAATGTCACTTGGTGTGGTCCATTTACCCCACAAGCGCATTATGGCATGTCTCTACTATACGAACCTATCACCAGTTTTTACCTGTTCCCTTGGCCCAACAACTACCACAATACTGCCTTAGGTCAAGGCAAGCACACTTGTAGCCTTGTTACTACTGCTCACCATTCCCCACTGCCAGTTTCATTGCTCCCGGCCGCCCCATCGACCTCCGATCGTGTGCTGCATCCTTGCATCACGTTCTTGTTCAAAATGCCTTGAAATCAATAGTGACGCCTAGCAAATGTCTTAGATTGTAGGCAACACACTGCATGCAAACACTACTCATGTCATGCATGGTTTGATTCTCCAAGTCGTGGTTGGTGGCTTGCTTTTGATTTGACTGGTCGCATGCGGGTTGTAAAGGTCATGTGTTGGTCTTCTGAAGACACCCGGCAGGAAATATTGGCCATGGTTCACGTGCCACCCCAGACTTTGCATGAGAAGAGGTGTGTGTGTGTGTAATTCCCACTTGCTAGTAGATGCCGACATCAAAGAGAAAAAATTCCAGTCGAGTGGGGAGCGAAAGCAATGGGGGGGACCATGCACGGCCAGGCATTGTACAAATTCCGGGCCGACAACCATTGGGTGATAACGATGACAAGAATCAAAAGGGAAAAGAAAAAAAACAGAATGAAGTCATGTCATGAATACAGTATACTGTTACAGATGATGAGTTTCCAGCAAAAAAAAAGACTCCAATTCAACATGCATGCCCAAAAGGTGTGTCTTCTTTTCTAATCGCTCCTCAGGGCATCTGCCACGCCCGGAAAACCCGGCGGGGGACTAGCCTTGCCCTGTGGTGTCATGCTCTCGAGGAACTGGCTGAACCTTTGCGCCTCGCCACTCTGCTCATCCAGCTCTTTAATGCCGCTCTTGCCCATGCCTGCTCCTAGGCTACGTAGCGGATCCTCGTCAACATGGTCGCGCACCGGGGGGCGATCGTCCAGCTCGCCCCGAGCCACGGCAACCTCGGGCCCTATCGACCGCTTGAGCTTGATGTGGATTCGCCCGTCGTTGGTGACGCTGCCAAAGAGGGGTTGCACGGGGATCTTGCGGCCACCAGGCGTATCAATGTCAATCGTCTCGACGTCCTTTGCGCCCATGATGTTTGCGCGCGACGCAGACATGGTCTCTGCGCTCTTGAACTGGTCGTTTGCTACGAAGCCGCCAACGCCCAGGCGCGCATACATTTCGTTCTTAGTTCCTGTGCGCCGGGCCTGCACGACGCGCGCAGGCACGGGGGCGTGGCTGGCTTGCGGGCCGAGGATTGGGTGGTTGGCCATGTAGGATTTTGTGCGCAGGTAGCCGAGACCGGCGCTGGGATGCGTCGAGAGCGGTGCCGTCTCTTGATCAAACGAGTATTGGTCAATGTCGCGGCTCGATGCGTCCGACGCCCATGCCTTGGGCTTGAACTTGATCGCCGGCAGCTTCAGGAAGGGGAGGATGAGCTTGCTGACCAGCTTGCTTCCCAGCGGGTTGTTGGCTGTTTCTTTACGGAGAGCCTTGATCCCATTGTTAATGTCGTTGCGTGTAATATGACGCCAGGCTTTTTCTTGTCGCTCTTGCCATTCTTCGGCTTCCTTGATGTCCATTGGTGGCTGTTCTTTCGACTTTGCGGCGGCGAGACGGCGGGATGTGTAGATTTCGTTCTTCACAAATTCAACCAGATAGCTGTTGAACTCCTTTTTGCGAGAGTTGATTTCCTTACTGATATAGGCGACAAAGTCGTCAGCCCCCATGCCTGGTAGCCAGGGTCCGTCATGCTTCCACCGCTTGGTGTTGTGTACGATGGGGTCTACAGGAGGCGGAGTAAAGGGAGCAAAGGGAGTGGATCCAGATTTTTCCGATCCCGCCAATTTTTGTCTAAGTGACTTCTTAGCCTTCTGCTGCTCTTGTTCAAATTTTGTGAACTCGTCCAGCCAGGGCATAGAAGCCGGGGCTTGGGCAGCAGCGAGAGAGGCCTTTTTCTCGTTCCATTTCTTCCGGAATTCGAATTTGGCCGTGCGAGTCTCCTCAACCAGAGCCTTGGTCTCAGCTGCTCGCTCAGAATCAGTGAGGCTGTGCGATTGCCATTCTGCCTTCTTTGCTGCCCACTTGGCACTCAGAGGCTCACGGAAGGCTTTGAGTTCTGCTTCAAACGCCTGTTTTCGTGAGATTCGAGCCTGCTTTCTTGCCTTGTTCGCTTCTTGCTGGAAAGCCTCAAAGTCTGCAAGTTGGGTGTCCCAGCCATCAGCCTTCCAGAGTGCCTTCTGCAGTTCCCACTTCTCTTCCCAGGCAGCATTGAAAGCTTCCCATTCAGCCTTTGCTCTCTCTGCGGGCATGCTCTTCTTGAGAGCCTTCAGATATAGACCAGCCTCATCCAAACCCATGTCAGTGTCGTAATTGGTAGTGTCATCGCGGACCTCGAAAGCTCCTGCAGGCGGCGCTACGCTCAAGTCGTGATCACGCATCTGCGTCATGCCCTTCATCATGGGAATTCCCATCTCTTCCCACTTCTGCCTTGTCCGCACATGGTCGGCTGCCGAGTCAAAGTCGGTGACATGCTCAATAGTATCCAGCTGTGTCACTCTCAGGACCGGGTCACTGACTTGGACAAGGTGACTCCGTGAGGGAATTGCTCGTTTCAGACCCCAATCACCGCGTGCAAGTGAGGCTTTTGTGGTAGCAATGGCCTGGTGTGTCGGGTATGGTAGGGTTGCCGTGTCCGATGCCTTTGTGATGCCCGCGCCAAAGGTCTCGCTAACTGGCGGGCGTGGGAGAGGATTGGGCAGAGAGAAAAGTCGGGAATTGCGCAGCAGATGGGATGTTGGCGAGAGGGACTGGCGACTTAGAGCCATGTTGGCGATGCGACAGCCGCGGGTTGGCGTTCAATGGCGGCTGAAGTGGTGTCATTGGTGGTTGCAAGCAAATGTTGAGTTGGATTTGCGGCGATACGGTCCGTGCGCACCTCCGCGGCTTCTGCTGGATTTGTGTGCATTGTCGAGTTAGCAAGGGCTACACATTCAATGCTCGCACAAATGAGAGTTATATGGTGTGGTATTTTATCTATTATGATTTTGTAATTCTCAGATGACAGTAGCCCATCCTACTACTAGAGTTTCTCCCCTATAAAGCCTTGTGCGACTTGTACTGCTGGCACAGTCATGTTATGATTATATCGAAGTGACAAGCCTGTCGTCACTACGCAGTCTCAAGGATGTGGTATGATTCTGACCAACATGCGGATTCATAATATCTACCGTTGTGGGCAGTGATGACACATAGACCCATGAAATGCTGTCTTGTGGATCAATGGCTAGAGGCAAAAGATCAAGCACACGGCTATAGCACTGACATTGAAGCCTATTGGTAGTTTGTTTATGGCTGGGGGTGAGAAAAAAGAATACCAGGCGATCAGGTCGTTTGGTCATCCTGGTAGATGCTTTTCCCAGTCTTGTGGGTCATCTTCATCTTCATCGTCATCTTTGTCTTTTCTGTTGATGCGCGGAACGTGGCCTTCAATGGCCATGGTGTGGTCAGATGTCTGCGTGGGAAGCGAGGGCGGTTGCGGGGGCGCATTGTTCAGAGGCCGCTCGAGGATCTGGTCTTGGACGAGGTCGCTGTTCGCCTTGGTGACCTGGCCCGGCTTTTCTCCTCGCTCAAGAGCCAGGTCGGCCATGGCATCTTCACGGGCGGCCCAGGCTGCATCCACGTCGTCGTCTTCATCCTGGTCCTTGGTGGAGGCGACTGGCTGCTTCGGCCGCAGGGGCAGGGTAACACGATGCTCCTCTTCGTTTTCCACCATGAGTTCAATCTTATCGCCGTACCCGCCCTGCCGCAGCCAGGCGGGTTCCTCGCTCAGCTGGACTTTGACATAAAGGGCCCGGCGCGCGCAGTCATCGGAACACCACACCTCGAGCACCTTGCGGTCGACAATCTGCACGCCGTCCTCTGTGTCGACAAACTGCTTCTTGGCGGTTGAGCGGGCTTTGGTCTTGGGGCGGGGGCACAGGGCATAGCCGCACTTGTCGGCAATGTTGCGCTCCTCGATCAGGGCGTCGTAGTCGGCGGGCTGGAAGGGAATGATTGCCGTCTGGAAGAAGCGAGCGTCCGCGGGAGTGGGTCGCTTTGCATCAGCGTCTGGCGACGAGGGGAAATCCATCAGCGTCATGACGGCCTGCAGGACCTCTGCCTCGACACGCTTGCGGTCCTCGAGCACGGAGGCATGGTGGCGGGCGACTGCGAGATGGCGCGGGTTGACTGCTTTGGTGGTGGTGGTGGTCGGGGCATTGGCAGCCACGGCCGGCGTCTTCTTGAGGATGGACTTGGGGGGCATGTCCAGTCCAGTCCACTCGGTGGTGATGGCAGAAGCAGGAGGATCGCAACAGGAGCGGTGATGGTACGTAGGATCGGCGGGTGCTAGTAGAGACATCAGTCCAAGTGGAGCGTCGCGGCCAACTGCCAAGCTGGGCGTCGGGCAGCGCGCGGGGCTGTTTTGAGCTTCGTCACCACACTGTCCGTCTGTCCCCACGAGGCTCCTGCCGGCCGCCGCCCCCATCATTGCCCCCATTCATTGCCCCCCCTCGCTCTCCCTCTCGCCTCTCGCCTCACTGCTGTATGGCTACCCACGCTGAATGGTACGCTGTCCTTGTTCTTCCGCGCCTCCCGCTGTCCTTCGCTGCCTGACACCGCGCCATTGTAGCTACACCAAGACGACCCGCCCCGTGCACTCGCCCTAGACCTCCTCCCTCCTGCTTCTGCTGCTCCTCCTCCTCCCAATCCTGCTGAAGCTCTTTTTTTCTTGCTTCTCCCCGTGGCAGGGTCCGCAGCTGTCACAATAGCCTAGCGAGCCCTCCTACAACTGCCTGAGCCCTTCCATCAGCTGCTGCTCCACCACAGCTTGCCGCCATGTACAAGGTCAAGGCTGTGTACGACTACTCGTCTCCCCACGAGGACGACCTCGACTTCAAGGTCGGCCAGGTCATCACCGTCACCGAGGAGGAGGGTGCCGACTGGTATGTCGGCGAGTATACAGACAATGGCGGCACCAAGCATGATGGCCTCTTCCCCCGCAATTTCGTCGAGCGCTACGAACCAGAGCCGCCGCCACGCCCCAACCGGGCCTCACGTTACAAGCCATTGGAGCCACCGGCTGCACAGGAAGCTCCCCGCACTCCCCAGCTGCCTCAGCAGGAGCCTGAGCCAGCTCAACCCGAAGAGCCTGAGCCTGAGCCGCCCAAGCCCCAGCTGCCTCCGGTCGAGGTCCCCGCTATCGCCAAAAACACTCCTCTACCAATGTCACCCATGTCGCCTCCCTCTGCGTCTAGTGCAAAAGCTCCAGAGCTTCCTCAATCGCAGTCTGAAACGTCGAAACCTGCTGCTCCCGCCAAAAAGGCGCCTCCCCCCATCGCGGCAAAGTCCAATGCATTCCGGGACCGCATCGCTGCCTTCAATGCTCCAGCTGCTGCCCCAATCCAGCCATTTAAGCCATCTGGCGGTGCACCCACCAACTTCATTAAGAAGCCTTTTGTCGCTCCTCCGCCGAGTCGTAATGCATACGTTCCTCCTGCTCGCGAAGCTCCACCAATCAAGACGTACCGCCGTGAAGAAGATCCAGAGATCGCAGAGCGCCAGGCACGGGACCGCGAAGATGCTGAGCGTGCTGGACTTGTTGGCCACAACGCCCCAAATTTAAATGAGGGCGAGGAAGAGCAACAGCCCAAGGTCAGCTTGAAGGAAAGGATTGCCCTTCTCCAGAAACAGCAGCAAGAACAGGCGGAAAGGGCTGCTGCAATGCTCAAGGAGAAGCCCAAGCGGCCACCGGTGGCGAAGAGAATCGAGCCCCAAGAGTCACAAGCTGATGATAGCGAAGACACTGGCTTGGAACGGGTCGGAAGCGGAACCTCCAAGCCTCGTGCTTCAGTAGACCAGGCTCGTCCTCGCACATCACAAGATGTCAAGTCGCCCGATGCACAGACTCGCAATCGCGAGCTCGTCAGTGAAAACGACGCCGATCAATCAGGCGCTGGTGATACGGAGGATGCTGGGGCTGAGTCTACAAGCGTCGAAGATGACGAGGACCGACCGAAGAGCAGGCACGCACCTCCACCAGCGCCTAGAGCTGCTGATGCGCCGGCGCAACAACCCGATGTTGGCGACGAGCAAGACGCTGTCGAAGAAGACGAAGAGGAAGAGGAAGACGAGATGGATGCTGAAACAAGACGCAAGTTGGAGCTACGCCAGCGTATGGCCAAGATGAGTGGCGGCATGGGTATGCCCGGTATGTTTGGGGGTATGCCCATGGGAGCTCTTCCTCCAAAGCCTCCTAAACCTGCCAAAAAGAAGCCAATCACGGAAAAAAAGGCAGAGGAATCAGAGGGATACACGTCCCCCCAGCAGCCGGTGCCCATGTTCCGCATTCCTCCATTGCCACAGGCCCAGAGCAAGGAACAGGATGACCGCTCGCTTTCTGTAGAAAAGGAAGAAGAGGCTCCACAGACGGTCACGAGCTCTCATGCAGCAGATGAGGTACCTGACGTCGAAGATGTCGTTTCCCAGCCCACGCCTACAGGCGATCAACCCCCGCCTGTTCCATCAGACAGTAAGTTGATGATTCCTCGCAAACCGATCTCAGCCTTCGTACACTGTAGCAAAGACTACCTTCAGCTGCCGTTTCCTGAGACACTGTCAAAGACGTATGTTACCAGTGACGGTGTTTCGGAATATGTCATGACTGTATGCGTGTCTAGTATGTGTGTACATTGAGCTCTGTATCTATACCAACCCCTCTGCTGCAAGTCTGACCCTCCGCAGAACGACCTGCTCCTCCACCAGTTCCTTCAGCATGTAAGCAATACTGCTGCCAAATCTAGACTCATTCTAACCATCTGTAGCTCGCCCTATTCCGCCGCCACCGCCGCCACAGGTCATGTCCCCAGGACCTGGCTCTGAGTCTGGTGACGAGTTGACAGATGCGGCTAATACGCCATCCGCTTCTGTCCAGTCGCCATCTTCAAAACGTGTCTCCTACTTTGCAACTGGCGAGCAGCATAACGATTCATCCGAGAGGCGTGCACCGCCACTTCCTCCAACAGGCCCTCCGCCTTCAACAGCAAGCCGGCCACCGCCGCCACCGCCGCCAACTTCAGCTCCCCCCTCCCGCCATGGGGATCCTCTTCAAAGAAAAATAGATCGCACTGAGGGAGAGACGGATTATGAGGGCGACTATGATACAGACATGGCCCCTGAGGCAACGCACAAGGATGCTTTGAAGTCACATGCTAAAAGCTCAAGTGTCGAGGAGGACATTATATCAGACGAGCCTACGCCAGGGCGGTCGCCGTTAATACCTCAAGGTATGCCACCTGTACCTCCTGTCAATCGTGTGGTGCCGCCCCCTCCTCCCCAACAGCCGCCTCGATCGTCATTAGACGCTCCTCGTGCTCCTCTGCTACCACCTGGGCCACCACCGAATCGTAATGCTCAACCAGTGGAGGAGGAGGATGAATATGACCCCTTCAAGTACAACGGCCCTCCTTCACTCACTGCATCGCCTGCGCCTAGAGGAGTTCCGCCGCCACCTCCACCAAGTCAACCATTCCCTCCACAGAGTCGTCCTCCACCACCTATGCCGCCATCTGTTCCTCCTTCTATGCCTAATCAAACAGCTGAGTCTGAGGAAGAAGACGACCTGTACTCTTCACCTCCACCCCGAAAATCTCATGATCGGCCACCACCTCCACCGCCCCATGCTCCACCGCACCAGCATGCTCCTCCACCCCTTCCCCACCAACAAGCACCGCCTTTTCCGCCTCAAGAACGAGCTGCCCCACCCCCACCGCCTCCTCAGCCAAAAGAGTTTCAATCTCCGCAGATGGCACCTATGGACGCACAGCCTCGACCATTACCAAATCGGAAGTCGTTTGATGCGAGTCACATGATGGCTACAAGACAGTCTATGGATCAGCTTCGTTCAGGTTCAATGCAACATCAGGACTTTATCGCCGAGGAACTAGACCTTGGAGCTACTTCCCATTGGTGGACTCAACCTAACCTACTTCCTCCATCGCTGCAGGGCCGCAAGGATGTCATGATAGATCGGAAAGAGTCGCAATCTGGCAATACTGTGGAGAAGTTGATCAAGGTCCTCTACCTTGACTACTCACAAACAATCATCTCTGCTCGCTTCGAGGCCAATAATGTCTCTGATGTGGAACTTGAACAGCACAAGGAACCACCTCCTCCCCGTCTGCGTCCGGATCAGCTGGAGAATGCTTACGAGCAGTTTGGCCGACAGATTGCCAAGGCTATCGAATCCAAGCAGAACACGGTCGTCGGGAATGGTTCACCTTATGTTCTTATTGAAGAATTGCTCAAGCCTTTTGGTGACGCCCTTCCACCCGTCTCGACCCGCTCATATGGTGCGCTGGTTTATGCCAACCTGGCTAATGCATCAACGTTATCTTTCGACGAGATACGCCCTGGTGACATTATAAGCTTCCGCAACGCTAAGTTTCAAGGCAAGGTTGGACCCATGCATGGCAAATACAGCATGGATGTTGGTAAGCCCGATCACGTGGGTGTGGTGTTGGAATGGGACGGCAGCAAGAAAAAGGTGCGAGCGTGGGAACAAGGGCGTGAGCACAAGAAAGTCAAGCCTGAGAGCTTCAGGATGGGTGATTTGAGATCTGGTGAGGTACGAGTTTGGCGTGTCATGAGTAAGAGTTGGATCGGATGGAACTGAGGAGGAGTGTAGTGTGAGTTGGTGTTAGCTGCTTGATGGAATGTAATTAGTAGTCAACAAGTGCCTGAGAGCGCATCATGTGCTAGTCTTGAAGAGCCTATTGCAATGGTTTTGAGAAGCTGATGTATTGCATGTTTCGATGTAGGTCCTGGGACCTTGTACCTACAGCCGCAGACCCTGAGTAGAAAATGTAAAGATATGTCTTTTCTGATACTGGAGCATGTGCATTTGAGATATCGGTAATTACTACATATATATATTTTACCGTTTTGAGCAGGAAAGAGCAAACTTCCAATCTCCAAGCCTAAATTCCACAAGGTCAACAACAGGAGCGTCATGCTACTATGTCATCGGCCGACGAACCTGTACTCATGAATACTCTTTCACTACGGAAGGCAAAGACATAGTAAAGATGTTACACAATGGAGTCCTTGGAGATTTCTCGGAGTAGTAGTAGCTCTCCTATACTGTCTCACGCTAATCGGCTGCAAGGGCGCCACGCGGATAAGACGATGACGTCTTTTGTCTGCTTTGACCACACAGGGCAACTTCCTTCGACGTTTAGCACTGCTTCGTCAAACGCCTATGGCTCT